AGATGTGAACAGCATATCAATCACCAGTTTCACTAGCCGTGCAAATTTAGAAAAAGTTTCAGGTTTATTGTGATCCATGTCCTTAAACCCGTGTTGCCACGAAAGCCCACTATCCAGAGGCTGATTTATTGCTTCCCATGCAAGGGAATAATCATTATCCTTATTTGTTGTTTTTGTTTGCACTGCATCCTGCCTCTGTTAATTTAAGGAAGTCCGATTTTGAGAAACAAAGCCTGAGTGGAATGTAAACGCTGAAGTAGAAACAATGCACAATTTGTGATGAGTGCAAAGTACTGAGATTCTTCATTATCCAATTTGTCCTGTTTCCACATGCTGAAGGAACGGTCAAGAAAGTTCGAACACCAATGCCTTGCAGCTGATGTGAGAAATGACATTAAGTGTACCTTCTCTCAATTGAAGTTAACTTGATTCAGGTTGTATCATTTTGGCACTAATTAGTTTAACCAGGGGAGCTCATGTGATTTAAGAAAAACCCCCACATGTCATTGTTTCACGGGATAAGCAGAATTTTACTTGAATTTACTCACATTATCCCATGGTTTGATTTCATGGCTCTGTGTAACATCTGTTTGCATTATCTGATGTAATACTTGTGTTTTATATTATATAATACTTCCAATAAATATTATTACTGTGTGAAACAGGTATTAGATTATTATAATGTAAATGTATGATTGACAGTGACACCAAACACAACAACTCTTAGCATTAGCTAGTCATGCCTGTTGCTAATTGTCAGCACTGATGAATTAAAAAGAAGCACCTCCCTAGTTCTGCATTTACTAGTTCATTCATCTTTAATCACTGAGAAACAGCCTGGAGGAAAGGGGTTGTTCTTCCTTTGCCTCATCATATGACCAGCATTGAACTCTTGTGTGTCAGCCTGGGAATAGAGGCGACTCTGTAAGAGAGGTATGCTGGCGAGACAAGAAAAAAAGTCCCTTTCCATTAAGACTTTTCCCTGCTGTAAGATATAGGTCAGACTTCAAACAAATTCAGATTTATTTATGTTTTTCAGGTTATCTCCTCATTTGATAGGTCACTGATATAGGTACTGTTGTACTGGGTAGAGCTGTAGATAGAAATGTGTTAATAAGACATCATCTTACCAACCACCATTATTTCTACCTGCCAGCTTTGAGCTCCACTGGGAACGGTTGATTAGCAGGAAGTCCAACCCACTTATGATGCTTCTGAGGAGATCCAAGTTGTCTGCAAAACAATAATTGTTTAGAAGCTGCTCTTATAAGATTGTAATGGTAAATACTGGACTTTTCTTTCTTGTAAGCATTTGCATGAGTCCTGTACAGAGAGGCTACTTTCATTTTTTTTTTTTACTTTTATCCAAAGCGACTAACATACTCAATACTGTGGACAATCCCCACAGGAGCAATTGGGGTGAAGTGTCTCAGGGACACAACGACATGCTGACTGCAGTGGGGTTTGAACCTGTGACCCCCTGATCCCAAAACCAAGGCTCTATCCACACGCCACACGCCTCCGGAAATAGGTCAATGACAAGCCAACTTGATAACACAAATATGCCAACTTTGTTTTTGAACAACTTGGAGCGTAGTTCAGCGCTTTATTATAACACACCATTTGGGTTTAATAATCGGAACCGTCTTGTCACAAGAAGCCTCAAACCGGAAATATAAATCATCAAATTACGTGACCAGGTTTTCAAGTTACTCCCTTAAACCTTTGCACACAATTGGGACCAGGGCTAGCCTATTTGGAAAGATTCGTCCCATATACTTACCCTCTAAATTAGAGGAGGAAAACATAAATTAGTGTCACCCAGTTAAATGTTTTTTCATTGGAGTACTGATTGTTGGAGTTGGATGTCCGTAAGAGGCCGGCTAGTTAAAGTGTCCGACTGATGCCAAGCTGGAGTTTTGTACCACTCTACAGACTGCAAAGTGCCTGTGTGAGTGTGAGTGTGTGTGTGTGTGTGTGTATGTGTGTGGGTGGGTGGGGGACATTTCAACACCATGCATCTCATGCCAGCTGGCTCCATCCGAGGACATGTTGGGTTAAGAGAGGAGTGACTAAAGGAATCTGGGACATGGTTAAGCCACTGTGTTTTCTGATAGTAATAGGTTGTGATAAAGTTTGGACACAGAAACAGAAAATACAAATGTTCCACGTTTTACTCAAATGGCCAACGACAAAAATACAGACGTGTGAAGTTAGTCGTTATCTCATTGGTGTTTCATATCTTTATTGCCTATCAACCAAAATATTTGCCATTAATCAGGGATTGGGCAAATATCAGCTGCTATATTGGTCATGGCGATTATCAGTCAGCTTCTAGTCTTTATTTATTGTGCATGCCTGGTCTCGTGGTAAAGTTCCTGTTGTGCTTTGTTTGCATGCACATATGGACTACTTGTTTAATAGTCTCATGTCTGTTGTGCTTTGTTTGCACATATTGACTTGTTTAATAGTCTCATGTCTGTTGGGCTTTGTCCCATCTCACATGCCATGAAGACCTTCCCCATAGACAGTTGTTTTCTCCGGCTTGCACTTAGCTGGATCAGTATATTTTAGATGCATGATGACAGTGTGTGTGTGGCCCTCTTCATTTAGAGTACTGTTTGTCCTTACTCAGACCAAAAACTAATGTCATCCAGATGAATCATTGACCTCTTTTTCTGTATCCAAAATATCCATCGCTTCATAATCAAACAAAACATTCTCTTACACAATTGTATCTGTTTTATTTGTTTCATGTCCTATATATGCATGTTGCACTGTTGGAGGAGCCTGCTGTGACTTAAGTAGGGATGTCCCGATCACCTTTTTTTGCTCCCGATCCGATTCCGATCATTTGATTTTGACAATTTGCCGATTCCGATTTTTCCCGATTCGATCTTTATGCAATGCATTAAGAGGAAAAAAAGCATTCAAGTTGTCCCTTAAGGTTATTTTTTTATTTAAATTGGATATTCTATCCAACATGGATATAGCTTCTTTTTTTCACAGCAGCATTGGATCAGTTCAGTTGTGCAGCATTGGATCAAAACAAAATAAAGCTTATCAGTACTTGTTAGCTTACTGCTACAATTAGACACTGCGTCCTGCCCACTCTGTTGCCAGATTTGAGAGAAATAAGCAACCAGGTCTATGAAAACAAGCCCCAAAGAAGCAACACATACATGATGTTGTGTCATTTGAAACCAAAACTAAGGCCTCAGGATGACTTTAAGACTTGAACATGGTCATTTTTGTTTTGTAACATTGAATACAAAATTAAAAAAATAAATAAAAAAAATCCCGATCCCCGATTTTTTTCTCCCGATTCCGATCTTTTGAAAATCACGTGATCTGCTCCGATCCTCGATCACGTGATCGGATCGGGACATCTCTAGACTTAAGTTGTTCATTGCCATAGGACAATAAAGCCTTGAATCTTGAAGGAAATGTGTGAGGATTGTTCCAAACACAGGATTGGGCAAATGCAGTTATATTGCCATTCGATACTAAAAGAACTAAGGAGGATACATTCAGGAGTCTCACAGCCTAAGGCAAGAAGCAGCTTCATAGCGTGGAGGTACGACAGCTGATCCTTCTGTATCTCTTGCCAGACAGCAGCAGGGCGAACAGGTTTTTTTTAATATCCTGTGGTTTCTTTGCAGGCACCTCCTCTGCCCTGTATCACTGAGGATCGGTAGGGAAGTAACCAGTGATGCTCTGGGCATTTCTGAACACTCGCTGCAGAGCTCTCCCGTCCTGGGTCGTTTCTGAATCTATTTTTAAATCAAGCGTTACTTACCAACATGCACTGTGTCTATGATTAAGGGCTTTGGAACGGATTAATGCATAAAACATACAAAGATGATTTGGGAATCATGAAGTGGGAAACTTGCATTGTTTACTTGGAGCATTACCGCCCCCCTTGGACAAGTGGAATAGTGAGAAATCATTGGAAGTTTCACCTCACCTGTGCACGTCGGGGGAAACAAATTGACCTAATTTACTATAAAAGTCAATGTATGTATATAAAGTTGGCCTTGTGTTGTTTAGCTTGATTTGATGCCAAATTGCTCTGTTCTTTAAGAAAAGTCTTGTCGAAAATAAATTCTGTTTGGAGAAGTTGTCACACACAGCTATTTCCGCACATGTCTTCCCTCAGGATCACAGGGGAAGACGCTAGAGAAGGGAGAGATGGTGGCGGATTAGGAAAGGGTGGAGATGAGAGTAGGGCTGCGGTGTAATCTTCTACGGACATTTAGGTTATTACATTTCACAAAAAACATCAATATCACGATCTAGCATGTATTCTGGTATATCAATTGTTCAATAGACTATATGAAACAACAACATTGTTAAACCATCTTTGGTATATTTCGGTGTGAATTAAATATTACCGCGTATTTTTACTTTTAATTAGAAGCTTTAGTGCAAAATTAACAGTTTGAGGTGAAATTGTAGATAACCAAACATATTTTAAATCATATATACACTTGCAAACAAATACAGAGCAATCGGATGTATTGATTTGGTTTCAAATTGGACCTTTTCGCATTATTTGCAACAATTTGTATAATAGGAGGTAGTAGGACACCAACATGCCAGCACATTCAAGCCAGGTTAGCAACAGATGGGAAAATATTAATAATAGAAGTGCAGGAGGAGAACAGCGGATGAAATGAGGTGAGAAATTAGTAATCGATAGGAAACAATGGTGCAAAATGAAGGAGAACATTGGTGTTGACGGGGAATCAGAAGTGTGGAAGAGATGGGAATGTAAAGACTAGAGACATGTCAGTCTTTTCTGAGGGCTTTAAACTCAACTTGTTTACTTGATAGAAATCCAGGAGTTGACATCATAACGTCAAAATACTCAACGCATGCCAAGAATGTAAAAGTGTGTCGGAAGGATCAAGGAGAAAAGGGAGTTTGAGGTGAAGGGAAGAAGGAGGGATGGACACTGAGATGGGAATAGGGGCATGTCCAACGAGCTGAAGACAGCCGGGTGTCAACCTACAAAACCTTTGCATGGTATAAGTGAAGCCTGCACAGCTTGCTCAGACTTTGCTTTAGTTGTGCATCTGACCAGAGGAGTCTGTCTTCCTAATTGAAGTAAGTGGTTTTCTTTTAAGGTTAGAAATGTGTTTGCATTTATTCTGTACTGTGTGGCACATTTATGAGGAATGTAAAGCACGTGTTGTTTCCCACTCATGTGAAGTTGTCTTGTGAGTTTCACAACTGTTATGTAACTCTCCCAAGAAGTGGAGAAATGTCTTCTTCTGAATTTTCATCTCAGACGCTAACACAGAAATGGGAAGTTGAGCTGCGTCTCAAATGTCAAGTTTTCTACCACTGATGCTGGCGTGCTTCCTCTACATTTGGAGCTCATTTCAAACTGAATCTTACAATTTGAACTATGTTGGTTTATTGGTTTATTGTCTGTTCAAATGACCTTTCGCAGCCCATTAATAATTGTTCTGTTGGCCCTCACATTGCCTGGCTAATTAAAATATCTTAATATAGAAAGGAAAGACACATGGCTGCCGATGATACAAATGTTGCTGTTGCTTCTCTCACATTGGAAACATGCATTTGTTATCTGTGCATTTCAGACCTGGTGCCACCCTGATCAAACCCTGAGTGAGCACGTGACTCTGTCTGCTTAACAAGAAACATGACGGCCCTCAACGCACCTCGGGACAAGTAAGAGAATCTGTTAAAAGAAAAGAAAACTCTCTGTTTATGTCCATCCTGCACTTATTACGGTCAATACACTATTTTTAAGTTCCTGTTTAACTTACAGTATGTGCAGAATTAGATCTGGATGAAAGCCACTTGTTCTAAATTGTTTGTTGATATAAAGTTGAATGACTTAATTCATGTGAACATCCTTTTGTCTCTTTCCCAGATACAATGCAGTATGGATCATTTTCTTCATCCTGGGCCTGGGAACCCTCTTACCGTGGAATTTCTTCATGACGGCAACTATTGTAAGTTAAACAACCCTTAGGACCCATTTTAATCCTTGAATATGAAAATATTTGCTGCTTAATGCGGTTAATTCTCATAACAACACACAGATGCACGTGAGAGGGAAAGCCCTGTTGGCTGCCGTGTGGTTTATCCATTCGTTAATTAAGAGGTTAAAGTCCACTTAGAAGAAGGTCATCTAACTTTGAGAAAACAAAGATTGTTTGTTTACATTTCCCTCCAAAACCCACCTGGTTCCACTCAGTGCGGCTGACCTGAGTCCAGCCAGGTGGATTTACACAGCAGGGGTACAGACTCTCTAATTCCCCGCCATTCTCTCTCAGCTTTAAGGGGTTAACTTCTTAACATGAGGAATTTCTACTTCATTGTCCCGGGGGAGTTCATTTGCACCCACCCTCAGGGGGCTTTTCACGTAGCTTAGTGCTTGTTTGTTGGAATGCCACTTGGATGAAAAACATATGTGCTTTAAGATATGGACCAGACATATGGTTATAAATAACTATGTTGCCAATATCTATAAGTGCAAACGCTTGATTTTACTACTATTTAAGAAAGGTTACAGCCAAACAAACTATTGCGGCAGTAATCTTAAACAAAGTGCCGCGAGGGACTAAACAAGAGAAAAAACACTGGACGTGCAAAAACTCAGTCTTTCAAAAAGTATGCGTTTGACCTTTTATTTCCAAAGCAAAAATGCAATATTCCATATCCATATGCGTATATCCTTGTATGCGTGCGTGCGGTCAAAAAAAATGGTCCTTCTCTAGCTCACTCCCCCATCTATTACAAAGTGCGCAGGTAAAAGCAACCGGATATAACTAAAAATGTCACCACACAAATCCAAAGACACGCCCACCACCTATAGTGACTCAAAAAACATGTATCGTAACAAACACAGAAATGGCTTCATATGTGGCTCCTACACAAACCACTTTTTCTTTCTTATGTACTCAGTCACAGGTTTTTAAATTGCACAAGCTAATGTGAGCTATATTACATTATAATGTATAGGATTATATATTATACCATTATTATATTATAAAGGTTTCTCAGTATTGCTGTTTTGGGAAACTATAATTGTAAGATGGCTTAATTTCCTAAAATGTTACAGAAAATAAATATATTCTACTTCCTTCTCTGCCACTGACATACTTGTGACTCCATCCTCATTCAATCATCCCTCAATGTTATACAGTAACTAGGATTATGTATTATGTATTACTGAAAACTATAACTGTAAGATGTCTTAGTTTCCAGAAAATAAATATATTCTACTTCCTTCTCTGCCACTGACATACTTGTGACTCCATACTCATTCAATCATCCCTCACTGTTGCTGCTGAGTTTCAGGAGCTCATCACCATTGTGACAAATGTGCTTCCCTCCATCCTTTCCTTCAGTACTTCACCAGCAGGCTGAAGGACACGCCCTCTGACCTCCCCTCCACTCAGACCAATGGGACGTTGGCAGATGGAGATACTCGCAGCGTTCTGGAGTCAAAGTTTAACAACGTGATGACGCTCTGTGCCATGGTGCCTCTGCTCGTCTTCACCTGCCTCAACTCCTTCCTGCACCAGAGGTACAATCATCATCGTTTATAAAAGACTTTTCAAGCTTCCACCCTGCTCTGCACTGACACACTCATACAGAAAACAACTCTACACTCCAGTGATTTATGTAAGTTGCAGCCTTGTGTCTAGCATTCTCACTTCCCCGCCCATAGGAAGCAACAAGTTGAACCCAAGAGAGAAACATGAGATTTGGTAACACAACATTCAAATTCTGCTCCTTGGCTCACCCTCTCTTTCTGCCTACCTCACCGCTATAAGTAACATGATCCTGTTGTGGGGGTCTTTGTATGCCATGTTTACTTTAATTAGAGTGGGATCGAGGGAGATCTGGGGTGGACCCCGACAACGGCTGATTCTCCCCGGGTAAAAACACACCCAGGAATGCTATTTATGTTCTCTACGTTCCCTCCATCATCTGCTTGACCTCACTACCTCCGTTTATTACATATTATATAGATTTAGTGGACCCTGTTGTCTCCTTTCTCCCTCTAGATGTGTTCCTTTCCCTTCTTTTGATAAACAAAGGCCTGTTCAACTCGATGCACTCTATTTGACACTCTCTTCAACCTCATGAAAGTAATTTAACTCACTTAGAAGAACCATGACCTTCTTCCCATCGTAACAGGAAACATTTTCTCAATTTTTCTCCATATGTTCCTCATCTTTCTCACACCACATTCAAAAATATATCCTGTGTTCTCCCGCTTTGCTCCAAACACTGTTCTATTATGTGATGAATACGTGGGGTTGCAAATGTATTTACTTTTATTATACGATTGTTTTGAATGAATGGCAGTTATTTGTTTTATTTACTCCTACACGGAGATGGCAAAAGTACACACATCCTTTACTCAAGTAGAAGTACAGATACTCGTGTTTACAAATACTCTGGTAAAAATAGAAGTACTGACTAAACTTCTTTTCTCAAGTAAAAGTAAAGAGGGCTTTGAAATGTACTTCAGTAAAAAGTACCCATAACTAGCAGCTGTTTTAAAGAGTACCTGACCTCCCTTTATATTAATAGAACAATAATGTCATTGTTAGCTAATGAATGTTTCCATGCTGAACAACGGCAACATGACAACGTTTCCATTGGTCCCTCTTCTTTAGAGAAGACCAGGAAGTGATGGATACACGGATCGTGTTCAAATCAATAGGCACGCAATGACTCTATATAATAATGATCACGCCACCAAACACACATTCAAACTAAAGTAACCATTCTGTTTGGAAAATGTAAGAAGTAGAAAGTACAGGTATTTGTGTTAAAAAAGTAAGAAGTAGAAAGTACAGGTATTTGTGTTAAAAAAGTAAGAAGTAGAAAGTACAGGTATTTGTGTTAAAAAAGTAAGAAGTAGAAAGTACAGGTATTTGTGTTAAAAAAGTAAGAAGTAGAAAGTACAGGTATTTGTGTTAAAAAAGTAAGAAGTAGAAAGTACAGGTATTTGTGTTCAAAATGTAAGAAGTAAAAAGGCGTCTGAATAAGTAGTGGAGTAAAGTACTGATACCAGAAAAACATACTTAAGTACAGAAACGAAGTATTTGTACTCCACTACTTCCCACCTCTGCTCCCACAGTGTCCACAATGGATATGGCTAATGTTGCTGAGTGGTTGAAGTATTGTAGAAACAAACATTAAGTCAATTTCATTCTCTCTGTGTTTCCGCTCTCAGGATTCCTCAGAAGCTTCGCATCATTGGCAGCCTGGCGGTCATCCTGGTGGTCTTCCTGTTGACCGCGGTGTTGGTGAAGATCGACGTGGGTCCTCTCCCCTTCTTCACCATCACTATGATCAAAATCATCTGCATCAACTGTGAGTTTCCAAATACAGAAGTGAATAATCATCATTCAAAACACTCTGAGGAAAGTCTCTCCTCCTTGTTTAAAAGACCAATTGAACTGATATCAAAACAAAAGGAAACAACCTTATAACCCTCATAAAGGCAGATGTTATTGCAGCACTGGCTACAATTGTTTATGTATATCCCGTTTCCACATTGAAGTCATGCAAATCATTATTTCCATGTGTCCTTGGTCTTTAATCAACATCATCTGCATCCACTGTGTGTGGAAAATTGCTTTCATACTGTATGGTTACACACTCACACACACAAACACACATCTTCCCTCATACCACACTGAGCTTCAGAACACATTCTGTAATCGCACTGAGTTTGTTTATTTGCAATGACTCAGTAAGCAGCGGGGATAAGCTCACCCCCCTCCTCATACCCGTTGGGCCGGTCCTGACCCTCAGGTCCTCATGAGGAACAGCCCATCATGTTTTATTTAGAGGGGGGGGGGCATCGTGACCTCGGCGCTTTGATATCGACGTCGGCACATTCCTCTCAGCGGACACATGTTACAAGATATCTGCAGCTAATTCAACTCCACAGTCGAAACGGTTAAATCCATCAGTGTGATTCGAGTTTATATGAAAAAGTCTCATTGTTTACTTCTTAGTTAGAAAATAGTTTCATAACAGTAATGTTAAACAATTATTTTGCTCCATGGTTTAGAAACGGGGTCTGTGGTTTATATTTGATGGGCCTCTTTTTATTGCTGTGTGTCAGTGTGTTGTTTCTGTGTCACAGCGACTCTTTAAAATATGCTAATTCTTAAACATCCTGTCTTGTTCCCAGCGTTCGGGGCGATTCTCCAGAGCAGTCTGTTTGGGCTGGCAGGGATTCTACCCGCCTCCTACACGACGCCCATCATGAGCGGGCAGGGGCTGGCCGGCACCTTCGCCGCTTTCTCCATGATCTGCACTCTGGCATGTATGTCTCTCACAGCTCTTCTTCTACCATTTAAACCTGATGCACAAGAGGGGGACAACATGACAATGCAATTCCTGAAGAAACTGCGGTGTGAATGCTGAAAAGCTGACGCTGAACTCACACAATTTGGATGAATTATTGTTAATGTTTTTTGAAAGTTAGGAATGCCCGGAGTAATAGCCATCATTTTGATGTTCGAATTAAATGATGAGGAATGTGGGAGAAAGATTCTCAGCATTCACACCGAATAACCCCTTACAACACAACACGCCTACCATTGCTATACATAGACTTTTTAGGAGGTTTAGCACTGGTGTTAGAAGTGGAAATGTGTCAAGCACAAACTGCACGACCCCTGTCTACTACAGTTACATTTCTAGAAATATGTCTTTCCAACTCTTGCACAATTTGTAACTCTTATAAAGACATTTTAATGACAGAAAGTTCACTTTTGGTAAGAGGTCAGCCAGATTTTCAATCTCTGGACAGAATTATAAAAACAGACTAAGTTGCTCAGAAGAGTTTTGGCTCACGGGATTGTTGCTCACATATTTGGCTTCCTCCGTGCTCTGACTCCCGACCCATGCATGCAGTTATCAGTTCAATAACATCTGGCTTGTTTTCCAAAGAAATACAATTTCTTTGCTTGGATTTCCAAACACAGCATGCTTCATCAAATTAGATAAATCTCTCCTTCTCAACCCATGAGACGTGCTAATGATAAATGATGGAGCGTGAGGGCGAATGTTGTTGTTGTGTGTGTTCATACCTATTCTTATAATGCAATAAGAACACTTTATCGATTTTATCAATAACTTTAAACAGCTGTATGTTGCCATTATTTATTGAAAACAAATATGCATAGACACCACACAAATACTTATTCACAAAGTTCAAATACATGCTACAGTTTGATTACCTGATAAACGTCTCTAAAGTAAACACTTACAGTTTTATTTATGGTTGGGACTTGAGATGGTTTAATTTCAACCTGAATGGAACGTTGAGGCCGTTGTTTGTAGTAATGATTACTAGATATTCATTGAGCTCTTGAAGCCCATGATGGTGCCTGAGTTTCTGATGGTTCAGTTTCAATCACACTACAGTTTAGAGCTGTTGTTTAATTTCTTAGTTAAACTATTTATAAAACCAATGAGTGATTTATAAAGAGAAATGGTGAAGATTTACCTTCGATAATGAAAATAACTTACCTGGGCATTTTCCTAAAGCTATAGAAAACCGTTAAGTTATATCATCAGTAATGACAGTCTTTAAAAACCCTAATGACTCTGTGCTTCTTGTCTCTGTGTGCAGCGGGATCCGCCCTGCAGGACAGCGCCTTCGGTTACTTCATCACAGCCTGCGTGGTTATTCTCCTCGCCATCCTGGCCTACATCGTTCTGCCCAGGATGGTGAGTCTCCTCTAAATCAAACTTTGTTGTTAAAATCTTTCTAGTATCTGTTTATGGCAAGGTACTTTGTTCAATGCACTTCGATCTGTCTCTCATTAACCTTTTTGTAAACATGCGATAAGAGCTAAATGCTTTAAGATAGGTGGTATATTAGGGTTAGTCTTCTTTTGTTGGTATCAGTCCAAACCCTTCTCTTTGTGAGGTGATGGATTTACACCTCTGTCAGAGAAAATGTACCACATCTCATCTTAGCTCTACTGGCTCAGCTCATTATGTTGTTGTTGTTTTTTGACAGGAGTTTTTCCAGTTCTTCATGGAGAGTAATGGATCCAGACCCGCTACTGATGAGGAGAACAAGATGGACTTACTCAAAAAAGGTACTGACACTTATGGCTGCAACCATTTTCATTAAAAGGTGACCTGTCATGCAAAATGCACTTTTGTACGTCTTTTCTACATGAATATGTGTCCCCGGTGTTCCAGGGAACTCACCAAGTGTCAGAAAACACAACCCTCTCTCTTTTCCTCCATACCCAAATCTCTTAAAAAGGGGCTGCAACGGATCTGATACAGACTGATACAGATTTGAACACTTCTGTGATGTCACAGAAGTGGCGCTACGGCTATTGGGCAACTCCACCAATCAGGAGGAGACAGCCACGGACATTGCCGTTAGAAAGCGCTGGAGACGCTGTAGTACATATGCCAGGCCTGTAGGTGGTGCTGTTCTCACAGAATCAGCCCATGCAAAGACAGTGTTAAATTGAGCGAAATGAGGAATGGCTAAAATGCATGATCTGTTTGGTATTTTGAAAAATAAAAAGTATAAATATGCCTTATATAGGTATGGTCCTACACTATATTATTCAAATATAGCATGATAGGTCCACTTTAAATTAATGTTTTCAACTAGCGGATAACAACACAGGCAATATGATTAATCATTGGTTTATGGTGATTGTTCATCCCAGTTTCTCTATGTCTTAAAATGCCTTGTTTTCTCAGGCCAAATCGCAAACCGAAAGATAACGGTAGATGTTTTAAGTTTTGTTTTAGTAATCTGTTTTTGTTATGTTTCAATATACTCAGACTTGTACCTTTTTGACTTTTTGTCAAAGAATCACACATGTTGTAACACAGTTACTGTCGTATGGGTGATTCAACCATGAGAGTTTAATGTTAATCAGGACCTAAAAAGTGTGCATATCAGTGTTTCCCATACATTGATTTATTTGTGGCGGGCCGCCACAATTAAATATCGTCTGCCATAAATGGATCTCATAAACTAGCGACAAAGGACAAAAATAATCAAAACGGTGAAAGGACGTTCGCTGAGTCGAATGCATATACGGTCGACAAGAAGGGTGTCTTAAACCGTAAGATAAACACCCCCGGTGCGGTCGGGTGGGGGGGGGTTTTTCCCTTTTCGGGTTTCCGGGGAATTGGATAAGCCGCACTAGGTGCGTAGGTGGGGGTAGGCGTTTATTCTATTAAATGTACGGCTCAAGCTACCGGACGACCGATCTGTTGCGTAGAACAACGGAGACGACGAAACGAAACAATTACTCACTTTGTGTGGTCCTCAAACTCCCAGGCACCCCTCAATAAGAGGGTTTTTATAGTAAATGTAAGCTCGCCGTAAAGCGTCCTGCGAATAAGGTTTCGCCTCAACATGTTCACACTGGTCTAATGTCCCCTGCACAGAGGGACGCTCATTTCGGCTCGCCGATTCACGCGAAATGAGTTTCGCCGGTGCTGAATCCATCACCCACGAAGGTCCCGTCCTAACCTCTCAGCGATTGAAGGCCTAGTAGTCGGGTGGAGTGATAGGTAATCTGATGTTTTATTATTTTTTCATTCTTTAATGAAAAAAAAAA